TTTAGTTGGTCAATTAATTTATTTCTATTTTTGGTAGAGACGGGGTCTCGCTCAGGCTGGTTTCGAACTCCTGACCTTGAGCAATCCGCCCGCCTCGGCCTCCCAAAGTGCTAGGATTACAGGCGTGAGCCACCACGCCCGGCCTGATTAAGTATTTTTAATACATGTTTTCTTTAACTCAAATAATATGATTGACTACATAAAACCAAATAATATCATAAGCTAAATTTGGACTCCTGGTTATTCCTTCTTTATTTTGATTTTCCATCATGAAAAGCCTCATTTCTCAGACACCACTTAACTCTTTTTACTTTGGGTAAGACTGGATATTATTGCCCTTTCTATAACAACTATAGATCACTTAACTTCTTATTTTTCTTGAATGGATCAGTCACTTTTATTCAATAAATACATATTCAATGTCTAGCCTACTAGATGCCAGGGAGTGTGCTAATTACAGAGCAAGATCATATTTTCAAGGTACTTATAGTCAAATAAAAAAACTGAACAAGTAACTATTATTAATAATTATAGCACAGTGGAATAAGTGCTAGTTAGGAGAAAATACAAGATTTGAAAGTCACTCAGAGAGATGCAGTCTTGTAAAAGTCAGGCAAAGTCTCCCAAAGGAAGTGTAATCTAATTAGAATTGCACAAACAAGAACTTGTTCCAGGTTTGGAACTAACTCTATTGTAGGTTTTGACGAAGTGGAGCAAGTGAAGACAGAGTAGGTGCAGAGAAGTGAAAAGAAGAAAGGTGAAGGATTCATACATTCCACAAACTCCTGATCATTTAATTTTCTCATTCTCCTGTCTGAATTCCAACAGTGTCAACGGCTACATTTACCTGGAAATTCTACCCTACACTATTGTGTGATTGGGAACAGAGAGAAGTGAGGTTTCTAAAATGATAATCCAAAAGTGCGTGATGTTTATTAATACATTCTTTCCTTAGCTGTCATCTTTTTTTTTGTTTTTTTCAGGGCTGCTTAAGAGCTGAAGGCAAAGATTTTAAATAGATGCTTTCCAATTGACTTGTTAGGACACAGCCACGTATTACAAAGCGTTCTTTGGTAGGTTTCAGTGAACTAAACTAGTTCTACTGATCCAGGGTCTTCACTGCCCTCCTAGTTCCTCCCTGTCATTTTCTTCTCTCCCCCAGCCCCGCTTCTCTAAGTTTATTCTTTTGAAGTTCAAACCTATCCATGTTATTCATTAGTGAGTAAACAGGGATTCCCCCTTCTCTATTTCTCTTATGTTTTGCTCCAGGCCTCTTTTTGCTCCCCTTCCCTTTTACTTCCTCTCCTTCCCTCTCCCTAACCCCCCGAGGCTATTGGCAAATTTAGGAGTTTGATTATGAGCCAAAGAATAAAAAACTAATGGCAGAGGCTTCCTACATCTGTGTGAATGAACATGACTCTGAGTGGCTAAATGCATCTGCACGTATGTATTCATATTCATGTTAATCATTGCATCACAGATTTCACAAAGCCAAGCTCCACAGATTAATCTCCGCCTCCTCTGGCATTCAGAATAAAAACTCACCAGAAACATTCCAAATGCATAAGTGGTCCTCATCTCTTTTTTTGCAGCTTAATGCCTGTCTTGGTATTGGAAGAGAACTAAACTAGATCATTCCATTTCTTTCAGAGGATCATCTGAACAGGTTGTACTTTTATTATTATTGATATTAACACTTGAGTTTTTAGGGCTAGAATATATAGTATGCAAATTATAGATACAAATCTTTTAAAAAAGAAAGCACAGAAAGAACAAAGTAATTGATACTTTAGTAAATTAATAATGTAAAGCCTTTAACACCTTTTAAAGTTATATGTTTGTCATTATAAGTAATATCTTATATTTATATAGTGTTTTGCCATTTAAAGAGCTTTGACATAAAATCACAGGAGTATAGCTACCTTGCAAGTACTGAATGCTGGGCTTGTTCTCTGCTTTACTGATGAGGGAACAAAGTGAGCAGGGTAGAAACAGGTAGAATGGAGACTGACTTCCAGTCTTGTGGTCACATCTGTGATTGGGGCCTTGCAAACAGTACTGTTAACTTTTACATTAGAAAGTTCAGATAAATTCAGTATATATTCAAAGTCCTTGGTAAATCATTGACAGGTAGCTTAGATAGTACGTCTGTTATCTAGGAATCCTTAGTAGAAACTGCAGAGCACAGAGAGATTTGCTTTGATAATTAAATTTAACAAATATTTCTGAGCAGCTACTTTGTGTCACAGTGGTGGATCCTGGGATAGAAAGATGTACAAAAATATAGTCTCTTTACAGGAAAGCTTGCAAAAAAAAAGAAAAACCATATATATATATATAGTTTTTGCTTTTAGTCACTTTACTCGAATCCAGGTAAATCTAAGAGAATGAGGACTGTGAGAACCCTATGCATCTATACTTACTATAGCCCATAATATTCCAGAGTTTACCACAATGCTAGGAAGGGAGTAGGCATTCATACAGCGATTATTTACTAGATAAAAAGCAGGTTGGAGGATGCAAGAGGAGAGGATTAAGAAAGGCAGGAAGAGGCACAGGAAGGAAAGAAGGAAGAAAGAGAAAGAAAAAACTTTCTGAATTTAATCAAACTTCTGAGTCACATTTTTAATTATCCTTTGTTGATGTTTCTGAATAACTGTGATATACATACTCAGGGTATAAAACTGATGATTTCTAAACTGAGTATGTTTTTTGAAAAAAAAAAGAGAGCAGCTAGAAAAGAAACCCATACATTGTGCTATGAGACAATTTCTGAAAAGAAATAAAACTAGGAAAGAGATTTTATTACATGCCCCCTAGTTTACCTTTAAGACCAAAATTGACCATGAAGGGGCAGCTAGAAGTCAGCCAACCGTTTAATGATAAATCCACCACTCCCAGCTCACTACAAGCCAATTCTTACAAACTTGGCTGAACACCAAGAAAGAATTCACATGAATAAACAAATCAATGGGCAGGCAAAGGGCAAATGGTGCCTTTAATACATATTTCTTTTAGTGAAAGATCTATTTTCTGAGAGCAAGGAGCAGGTTTGGGGAACAAGTGATTTATTGACAAGACTGATTTCTATTTTGGGAAAAGAAATCTCATCATTTTGGTCAAATTCCATCTGATGTGCCTAAGAGAAAAGTTTTTTTTTTAAAGTTGCAATGTGTGTGTATAATATAATTTACCAGGCAGCTTCTTGGGTAAAGGCAAATAAGAGGGAGATCTAAAAAGGCTCATGTCAAGGAAAGAGAAAATTTGCTGGGATGCTATGTCTTACACTCAAAATAGAGTAAGTGTGGCAGTTACAAAAAAAGGCACCAAAGGAAGTTGAAAGCCAATGAAAGTTTGCTTACTTAAAAATCTTAGGACTAACACTGAACTTGAAATGGATTGTCATGGAATCAGGAGATGAATTAGCAAATAATAACCACCTTGCTTAATTTTATCATTTTCAATCAAATCATTTCCGTGAAAGTATCCATTATTTTATTGATCAAGTGAAAGGAAAAAATAGGGGTCACAAGGAAATTTTCTCTACCCTCAAGATTCTGTGCCTTAAATATAACCATCACAGTGTCATTAATTTCATCTTCTTTTAAATACCTTCACCAAGCAATTTGAATTCTTTTCCCTAAAGGACACATATTCAGAAACTTTTTTTAAAAGGTCTGACTTAGAGATCTGGCAATAATAGTCAAATGTGACTATCAATATTAATTGTTATTTAATGTATGCATAACTGAACCCTTTGCCAAAATCTTGTTGTGTTTCTGGACCTCTTCTTATGGGCTCCATAAATTTTGACAGAAATTGAAGGCTCTGTTGTTTCTATCCATAATTGAATGTATTATGTATATCTTGCATTTTTCCTTAGTTTTAAGGATTTTACTTTATCATCTCTTGTAATTTCTTATATTTTCATGTGTCCGACACCTTCCTAATAAGATTAGAAACTCCTCAAGCACCGAGACTATGTCACATACAATGTTAGTATGCGTTTACCCCAGATTTGCAACAGCTGAGATGTGCTAGACATCTGAGAAGACCTCATTTTACATATTTATAATGCTAAAACATTGTAAAGTATATACAAGATATGAAACATAACTTTTTTTTTCAGTGTATCACTCTCTGATGGATCCTTCCAACCCTGAGTATTATGAATACTTCAAAGAAGTCCATGGGATTCCAATATATAAAGATTTTGCTAAATATTGGAATAATGTGGAAGCATTCCAGGCAAGACCAGATGATCTTGTTATTGCCACCTATCCTAAATCTGGTAAATCTCCCTGTGATGTTGAAGTTTTTTTTTTCCCCACTCAGAAATAATAAATCCACCCTGAATAGTAAATGTTAAGGTGTTTACTTCTTATATACTGATTCTCTACATTAAATAAAGATAGATGTAGACAGAAAAAGTAGCTCTATTTCGTAACTATAATCTGTACCTATCACTTGAATAGCACAATGACAAATGGATATTGTTGATCACATTAGAAACCTGTGTAACATAGAGAGATGGATTTATATTTACCCCATAATGAAATTTAAAACTACCATTTACCTTATATCATTAATGTCATTGTATACACAGAGTATAAGCACTTTACACAGATATTTTAAAACTTTCAGCTAATCAGCTCTTCTTTAGGTCTATCCACACGATTCCATTTTCAAGCCAAGCAACGCCTCTTTTTTTTTTTTTTTTTTTTGAGATGAGCTCAGCTTAATCATAGTTCTAGAGTTTTACAATCATAGACGTTAGAAATTAGAATCCAGACGTCTCTAACTGGCTATTCCATTTACTGCTTAAAAATAAATACATTTAACACTAAGTACATCTTTGGCTGCTTTGATTTTAAATCTGTCCTTTATTTTTCTTCCTTGTTGAAATCAATGTCAGCACTGAAGAAGAAACCTAAGAGCTATTCTTTTTTTTTTTTTTTTCTTTCTTTCTTTTTGAGACAGTCTCCCTTTGTTGCCCAGGCTAGAGTGAGTGCCGTGCCATGCCATCAGCCTAGCTCACAGCAACCTCAAACCCTTGGGCTCAGTCGATCCTGCTGCCTCAGCCTCCCAAGTAGCTGGGACTACAGGCATGCGTCAGCATGCCCGGCTAATTTTTTCTATATATTTTTAGTTGGCCAATTAATTTCTTTCTATTTTTTTAGTAGAGACGTGGTCTCACTCTTGCTCAGGCTGGTTTCGAATTCCTGACCTTGGGCTATCCGCCTCCCAAAGTGATATGATTACAGGCGTGAGCCACCATGCCCGGCCCTGAGAGCTCTTCTAGATTCAATTGCTTTTGCTTCTCACATGCAATCACTCACACTGTTCTGCCCATTTAGTCTGATAGATATGCCTTATAGGGTCTCTATGCTTCTTATAGGGTCTCTAAACATAATCCTGATAATTTTGCTCTCCTGCTTAATATATGCCAATGCCTTTCCATAACTGTTATAAAACAACCCAAACTCTATAGTATGCACTACAATGCATTTTATGCTTGTCTTCTCTTTGCCTTTCGAACCTTAACTCCACTCATTTCTTCAGGTAGACTCTTTGATTTAGGTCATATAGACTATTTCCATTTTTTTTCCTCACCAGTATACCATTCTTAAATATCCTACCTTAGATTTTTTTTAACCCTTGATCTGACCTTGCAAACATATATATATATAAAATATATATTTATATATATTTTATATATATATATAATATATATATATTTTTTTTTGTAAAGAGAGTGGTCTTCTGCCTGTTTGAACCCTTCTCCATCTCCCACAACTGGTGAATTTATGTGAATAACTTACTAAGGCTACACCCAATGATCACATCCCCTTGAAGGCTTTTCTTATCAAAACATCATGGCAGCAGCAGCGACAGTAGCAGCAGCACAGTCTGTTATATATTCCTCCTTTGCAGTCATTTAAATCTTTGTACCAATCTCTGTTATAGCATCTTAAGAAAAAAAAAGTGTTGTAATGATTGGACGATGTTACTGACACTTCAATGGACTTTTGGCCATGATAGGACAGGGACTAGATGTATCCTTTTCTACACTCTCTGAACTAGGACCCATCTGAGGCATAATACCCTATCAATCAGTACAATTTGTGATTGAAAGCGTGCTTGTGTGTATCATGTATTAACTCAAGTCTCCTTACTTTTTAGAGGTAAAAATTGAAGTCCCAAACTGTTATCAGCTTGCACAATGTCACAATTCATTACTGGCAAATTTTGACACATTTCCCAGGTGTGCCTTACTATGATATTAATCTTTATTTTTGAAGGCTATTTTGGGGGCTTATAATACCAAATATTAGATAAAATATTTCTTAAACCTTGTGGCTATTCAGACACCCTTCAAATAACATTGCATTGGTACCTTCCTATTTCATACACCCATAAATCCAGGACTCCCATTATCAGCCCTGCATAGCAGCCGGGAACTCAGATTTTTAATTTTTTTTTACAGGTACCACCTGGGTTAGTGAAATTGTATACATGATCTATAATGAGGGTGATGTGGAAAAGTGCAAAAAAGAAGCGATTTTTGATCGCGTACCTTTCCTGGAATGCAGAGACGTAGACGACTTCCTCAATGGTAATGTTCAAGGTGCTTTTAAAAGCTGTGTGCATGTATTTGAAGGTGTACACGTAAATAGTACAAGCACAGAGGTGATAAGCAAAAGTGGCAGTGAAAATTAAGTCTTGCACATAAGAGAGCACATTTACACCTTGACAGGGTTTATAGCGTATCATGTGTCTGTCATAGAGTGAATAAAGAGTTCTTATATGCCTTCAGCAGAGCCAAGGTAATACATGAACATTTATTTTCCTGTGGGCTGAATGTGACGATATTTTAAATACTGGAAAAATACCCATACATTTTTCAAGGATACATGCAAAAGGATATTTATCACAGATTTTTTAATATTATAAAAAATTAGAAAAAAACCTAAACATTAAGCAACAAAAAGTGGTTTCAATATAATATATTGAGAAAAAAGGTGTTTAGAAGATATCAAAAATATCATTTCGGTGTATGCTAATGGGACAGCTGTGAATTGGGGCATATACTATATTTATATGCAAGGTTGCTTACCAAAATGTTAATAATGATTTTTCCCAGGTGGTGAAATTTTATTTAATCTTATTTTTTTCTCTATGTGTTCTTCTATCTAGACTTCTTGCCTAGTAAGTATATATTATTATCATGAACGCAATATAGAATCTTAAAGTTACTTCTGTTCTTTTAAAAATAGCTATAGAAATCCATATAAATATTTATAATTTTTGAAATTGCTTAACTTTTAATTTTTTAATGTCAGGAATAAAAAAATTAGAAGGAACGCCATCTCCTAGAATAGTGAAGACTCATCTGTCACCTGAACTTCTTCCAGCCTCATTCTGGGAGAAGAACTGCAAGGTAACCAGAACCAGAGCCAAGTGTTCTCAGAACTTCATCCAACTCTGAGCCCTTTTAGAGTAATCTAATCAGACATCATCTTAACTGGGTCTTATACACACATGCTTATTTTATATTTTCATTGAGTCTGTAAACATTTAATAATTGTGGAATATAGTCAGAATAGTCAAAGAGTTTAGATTTTAATTCCAACTTTGCCATTTGCCAGCTGTGGTTCTGAAAAAAAAAAGTGAGACTCTCTCAGCCTCAATTTTCACATCTGTAAAAGAAAGATGATAATATCATCTTCCTCATAGAGTTTTTAGAAGTATTAAATGAAATAATGCTTATAAAGAGTGTGACACAGTCCCCAGCAAATAATTAACAAAAAACAGTAGCTACTTTTGCATTTGTTGTGATTACTATTTGTATTGAATGTCCTCCTTTTACAAAAATATTGTGCTTGGCATCATAAGGCATGTAAGTGAACCAGAAAAGGATAAGTCAGATAAAGTATCATTTAATTATTTATTGAGTGTATATCATGTGCTAGAAACATAGCAATAAAACACATGCAATCCTTATCTTCATGGGCACAGTTCACTGGAGGAAAACGATGAGTAAACAGTTCAGGAGGTTCCATAGGTCAAGTCAGAGAAGAATTCTAACCCCGACACTGTGGGCAGGGAAGGCATCCAGAAGCAAGAAGCATCTCAGCTGGTATTTGAAGGATGCACAGGAGTTGGTCTATGTAAACCTAGAGACAACATGAGGGGGGATACGAAATCGGTTCAGTCTGGCTAAAATGTTAACTGTATACATTGGCTGAATGAGTGAAGAGAGATGAGCTAAGGATTGATTACAAGAAACATCAGAAGCCAGATTAAGAAGTTTGGGCTCTACTTCAACGATAATGAGCAGTTATAGACATATTAAGCTGATGATTTACATGAGCAATTTTGCTCTTTGGAAAGAATGTTATACAAAGCTCCAAAGTACAGGCAAAACATAAAGTCTGGGACCACTAATGCTATACTTCAAGACCTTTCTAACTTCATTAGGACACCCTCTGACCCATATTAAACATGTGAGATCATAAAGTACTATATTCAGTTATCTCTAACAAAAACGGGGATTTATAACAGTCATGAAACATTTCCATTTTGTACTCTGATGTTTCATGGCATATTTGACATTTTCAGAGATCAATAGCCTAAGATTCCAAAGATTCCATTTTTTTGATTGTAAGTAATCCTAGATAGAGCATATATTATAAGTCCTGCTGAAGTCATTCCATACATAAGGGCTCTTTTATTAGTGAATACTAGTTATGTATGGGGCAAGAGATATGTCATTACCATTTTTTCAAGATATTTGACCAAGCCACTGTTTTCCTTTGGAGAATGGGTTGTAGGCTTGCTGTTAACGCTTTACTTCTCAAATGAAAATAGGTACCATACATTTGCAAAAGCATAAGTCTTCGCAAAACTGTTTATATTTTGGAGGTCACCAAGAAGTAGGAGACAGCTAGATGGATTAATGTTTGGAATATTTCCAGGGCAATTAATGGTGGAACCAGGAGACACACAGATTAAGAATATTTGCAAAAGTGCATCTAGAGTGGTGGACCAGAAACTATAAGTGAAGAATAGAGAAAGTGACAAAGTATAGCAGACTAATAGATAAGAGAAATAACTAAGGCTAATTGATTTGAGGCCTTTCTGATATTGGAGGAGAGGAATATTGAATAACTGATGGGGAAAAACAAAGAAGCAAGCCTTTCTTGGAAAAAACCATTATGGCCCAGGATAAGCTGTCATAAGTGAAAACTTCAGAGTGAATGCAAGATTCAGGATGTGGTTATAAAAATCATTGGCCAAAAAAAAGAAGTGATGATCAATGAGTACCTAAACTTAGAGAGTCAGATGGATCATGCCTACAGACACTAAAACTACACAGAATGATAAAAGGATTTAGAATGGACAGTGATACCATGAGGCAGGTGTTCAAATCTTCAGTGAAATTAAGAGAATGACCACAAGCTCAGAAATGGCATCACGTAGAAGAGGTATGAATTGGTCAAGTATGACAGGAAGTGTAGGATTTTTAAGAAACATTATATGATCCCAGGTGGACTGTGAGCAAACTAGCAACTTTGGTGAGAGCTGCAGGGGAAGTTGTATCTGCAGGAAAGACGTAGATTGTCATTGCATGCAGAAAGAAGGGCATGTGCAGTGAAGTTTGGACTATGGAAAGAGATCTGCCAAAAGAGAGATAATATAAACTGATGGGAGTTTAGGGAAAGGTCACTTTTTTCCATCTAGTGGAATAAAAAGACTCCTTGAGGAACTGAGCCAAGGTATAAAATATCGATACCATTTTTTGAGATGCAAAAAATATCCAAGAAAGAGAAAACAGCATGAAGAAAGGCAAAAGGTGAAAATCCTGAAGTAAATTCATGGACATAGTGGCAAAGAGTTCCATTCAACTAATAGATGAAAAGAATTAGAGTTGTAAATCAGATTGGCTAATGATAGCTTTCATATGGAAAAAAATTCGCTTTTATTCTGTAGTGATTAGAGGGTTTTATAGCAGGACCATAAAAATGAGCTCCCTACTTTTAAGAATAAACTAGAGTTCTTAAAATTTGTGTGAAAATGGAGAGACAAGTTAGTGGGCCTAATTATATTCAGCAAACAGGAGAGTCAAGGGCAGCCTTCTTTAATGCCATCACTTAGGTGCCATAACTGTACTGGGATTGATTTTGCAGATCATTTCCTGCAGAATTGAGTACTGAACCTAGAGTAGGCCATGGATGTCGGACCCAACTCAGTTGTTTAACAGAGATAAAATTTAGGTACAGAATGATTGGTACTTTGCATAAAGATGATAGAACTTCCTAGTGCCAGAACTGGCAACTAAACCCAAAGCTCCGTGATTATGAATTCACTTGTGTTATTTCCACACCTAAAATGCAAACTCAATAAGATGTCGGTAGAGATTATATTTTCACTGAGATCAATGTGCATTTAAATGGAACCTCATGAACATGTTTTTTTTTTTTTCTGCAATATTAAAAGTGAAGAAACAGCAGGGCTCTTTTTTCTTTAGTATGTAGAACAGTGGTGTAATATAAAGACCAGAGGACATTATTGTTGACTGCATCATTTACCAAATTGTTTACTTTTAATGATTTACTCTCAAAATGCATTCTTACTAAACTTCAGTTTAGTTTCTTCACTTGTAAATTGGGTGCTGGGCCCAGTGGTTCATGCCTGTAATCCCAGTGCTTTGAGAAGCCAGAAGTTCGAGACCAGCCTAAGCAATATAACGAGACCTTGTCTTCACAAAGACATACAAAAATTAGCCAGGCTGTAGTCCTAGCTAATCAGGAGACTGAGGCAGGAGGTTCGAACCACTTGAGTCCCGAAGTTCAAGGCTATAGTGAGCTACGAGCAGGCCACTGCACTCCAGTCTGGACAACAGAGCAAGGCCCAGTTTCTAAATTAAAAAACAAAAAGGTAGAGGTGATAATAAATAATCTAACTGACTCAATTTATATTGATGGAATTTTTGATACCCAAACGAGATATTATATGTAAAAATAGCGTCAAAATTAAAAGTGAGAATGAACATTGAACAATGCTACAAAAATGGCTGTCACCTCACATCACTGAAGGAGTTTTCTTTATAATTTTATATATTTTATACATTTTGTACAACAAATATGTGTTATGTTTGTAGTTGAAAACACAAATGCTTTCTTTTTATATCTTGGGACTGTTTGAAACAATGTTAAGTGACTTAATATATGATTTCATCCTCTTAGATGATCTGTGTTTGCCGGAACCCAAAGGATGTGGCTGTTTCTTATTATCATTTTTTTCAAATGGCAGCCGGTCATCCCAATCCTGGATCTTTTCCAGAGTTTGTGGAGAATTTCATGCAGGCACAAGGTAAGAACAGCTTCGTATCTCTGATTTTCTTCTAGGTAAGTGATACAAGACGCTGACATCTCTGAGCAAAAATTTGTTCTGTTATGTTACCGTCCCTGATCCATAGTCAAAAGACAGAAAGAAATTTTAGGCCCTTAAGGTTCAGAGTAAGCATAGGGTTTCCAGATGTAGATGGCAAATTGCATGACTTGGACACTCCAGTCCTACAAATAAATATGTAGGAGTATGTTTGGGCTCAGAAGTGGTAATTTCCTTTCCTTAAGATTGAGACTCAGTGTCCAACTCACTGCCTTTTCTATTTTTATTAGAAAAGTTCTTTTTACAACTTGTTAAGACAACTCTATTGAACAAGGGATGGAGGAGAGGATAGGTAAGATGAAATGTCTATTTGTTTCCAAGAAAAATGCTAGGTGCCATACGAAGTCAGAATTCACAGAGAAGGCTGAATATCTGCAAAATCCTTGCTCATTCTACCCTGTGTGCATCCGGAATATTGCAACCTGATTTCTCTGAAACTTTTTAAGAATTACTTGAGTAGATGTTCTGGGAAGTTTTGTCTCCTTGTTAAATCATCTAAGTGTTTAGATTTGAGCAAGAAAGTGTGCTGGAGACTGTAGTATTCGCTAAAGAAGGCCATTTGATCCTGTAGTAATAATTCTAAGGAAAAGTAATAAAGCCATTGTATACCTACAGAAGATAATATTGACTCAACAAAAGTAGGGTCTATGTGTTTTGTGTTCGTTGCTACATTTTGGAAAAAAATTATGCTAAAGCATCATAAATAAAACAGATGCCTCAAGATTGTCATTATAAGGCAGAGAGAAATACTATTGCACCTCTATAAAAACAGTGAACAAGAATCATGGGGAAGTGTTTTCTGTAAAGAAAAATTGCCTAATAGAGTCAAAGAAGAGGAAGTACATAAAGAGTTAATGCAAAGCAGAACACTTTGACTCACACATCATTATATTATTTTGTCAGTTTTTAATTGGATGAAACATTTTTATATGGGTGAAGGAAGAGAAAGAAAGAGAAGGGAAGAGAGAGTATCACATCATCTCCAAAATCTTCTAATTTTCTGGAGTGAGAAGGACACTAAAGGTCCCTAAGAGAACACACCTTAACATCTAAACTAGTAGCATAATAAGTACTCAGATAGCTACTAGCTTCAGTTGCCAAAGCTAGTTTGTAAATGGTAAATTTGAGACCTAGACTGCACTCTTCTGACTGTAAGACCATTCCATTCACTAAAAACCTAATTTCTCTCTCTCTCTCTCTCATACACACACACACACATACCAGTTTTAAAAATGTTCTCATGAGTTCTAAATCAAATTGATGAGAAGAGGACCTTCCTCACTTTTTTGTCATAAACCATATTATAGTGATAAAGGTTGACAATATGTTTCTGTACATGGTTTATTCAACATACTTTGCTTCTCTTGCTTCAGAGAATTTTGCTTAAGATGCACAGCTGATCTATTGCTTCTCATTTCATGATCATTTATTTATATGTATTTGTTGCTATTATTTGAACACTTGTTTTAAAACTGTGTAAAGATGATACTATGCATTTACATTGTTTTTCTGTCTAATTTTAGTTCCTTATGGTTCCTGGTATAAACACGTAAAATCTTGGTGGGAAAAGAGAACGAATCCACGTGTGTTAATTCTTTTCTATGAAGACATGAAACAGGTGAGAAATTGAAAACACATAGGCAACTTGGTAATTTCTAATATGTGAACATTTGACAACATTCTGGATACAAAATTATGCCTTTAAATAAATGATGGAAGCTAACTCCAAAAATTTTAAAAGGAAAAGACTGCAAAATCTGGACACTTTAGCACAGATTTGAGGCTAGCAAATAAAAGTAGTCTGTAAAAAAATTTTAAACTTAAGCCTAAAAAAATTCCAAAAATAAAAACTGAAAGAACTGGAGTTCACAAAATAACAACAACACACACAGACACACATACATATAAGAAATCACCAGAGTCAACTGGTCTTCAAATCTATATAGGTTGGAATTATCAGATAGGAGTTATAAAATAACTATGCTTACTACATTTAAAGAAATGAAGGATGAAAATTTATCAATTGCAGAGTAACAAGAAGCTACTAAAACTGACAGTGCAAATTTGAAAAATAGGACTTCTAAAAATATTTAAAAAATTAAATATAGAAAATTAAGAAATAGGTTAAATGACAGATTAGACATAGCTAAATAGTGAATTGGGGAAGTGAAAGATAGAGCTGAGGAAATTCCACAAAATGTAGTACATTGATATAAATAGAATACTTGATAAAGAATAATAGGTATATAAGATGGAGTGATAAGATCTCACATATATCAAATTAAATTTCCAGGAGAGAGTAAAAAGAATGCTGAAATAGAAATATGTAAAGGCATGATAAAATTAAAATTTCCTCATAATCTAATTTTTCTTTAGCTTCATTAGTAATCAGAGTAATTCAAAATAAAAATCACTGTGAGATGCCCATTTCACTTACAAACACCATCATATTTAGTTCTTCTAACAATCATTGAAGTATCTTTTATATCTATTTTATGAATGAGAAGAATTATACTTAGAATAATTTTAAAATGCTGGGCATGGTGGCTCACATCTGTAATCCCATCACTTTGGGAGGCTGAGGTGGGAGGATTCCTTGGACTTCGAGACCACCCTGGACAACATAGACCCTGTTTCTACAAAAAGTTTTTACAAACTAGCTGAGCCTGATGGCATGCACCTATAGCCCTAGCTACTCCAGAGGCTGAGTCCAGGAGTTCGAGGCTGCAGTGAGCGATGATCATGCCACTATACTCCAGCCTTGGTGACAGAGCAAGATCATGTCTGGGCAAACAAAAACAAAAACCAAATAATGATTTTAAAAACACTTTCAGGATGGTGGGGAGGAAGAATTTTTTTTCTTGCTCTCTTATTTTTTATCCTAAAAGCAATTTATTCAATTTTAACAATTTTAGCGATTTAATTCTCAAAGCATTTTACCTGTCTCTAGGATATCAGAAAAGAGGTGATGAAAGTATTCCAGTTCCTAGAGAGGAAGCCATCCAAGGAGCTTATGGACAAAATTGCACAGCACACTTCGTTCCAGGAGATGAAGAACAATCCGTATACCAATTATACAACACTACCAGAGGAAGTGATGAACCATAAAGTGTCGCCCTTCATGAGAAAAGGTGAGAAAATCATGGTTTGCTTTTATACTGTAGGAAATTGCAAGTTGACATGGTGATAGGCAAAAATTTAGTGAGGCCTATTCATGCCTGTGGACCCAGCTTGTGTTTGCTTCAGGGCTTGCTCACATTAGATCACCCACTTTACTGAGTTCCCAGTTTTGCAAGCACATAAAACACTACTACTACTACTAAATTGTGGATAATCATTGATCACTTAGTATGTGCAGCATATTATATTAAGAATGAACAGTAGACACCCTAACCTCAGCACTAGAAATATTATCGCTCTCTACTAGCTATCATTTATTAATACTAAGCCTATGTGCCTCAGTGCTGCACCGTGTACCTTATAAACATTGTCTCTTTAAGTTCTACGCAGAAGCTCAGGAGAAAGGTTCTGTTATTGTCTCTTTTTGAGATGAGGAAGCCAGCTTAGAACAATTAGTCAACATATCCTTGAACAAGAGACAGACATTTTTCAAGACTAAGTGGCAAAGGTAGAAATTCAAATATACCTCTGTTTAGCAAAAATACCAACATATAAGGAGGTGAAATTCTATTTGGAAGAAGGCATGGCCTGATGAGGTATAGTCAGCTTATTAATCTAAAGGCATGTAGCAGAGCACTGGGACCTCTGTCTTACTGGTAGGTGAGGAAGCAGAAATAGAGAAAATCTTGCTTGTCCAACCATATTGTCAGTGAAAGGGCAAAGGAATTTGTAAAATAACAGGAATAACAAATGTGCCTCTGGGTAGAAACAGGGAACCACTCAAAACAGATTCAATTCTCAGATTATATTTTCATTATCTTTTCCAAAATGTCTAAATACATATTAATATTTAAGATAAAACAAAGGACTCAAAATAATTTTCAGGCTTGCAAAGGATGGCTTACTGTGGAACCCTCAAATCCTACCTGATTTGCAGGGTACACTTTTTATATCTTTTTATTTTGGGGTTATTTCAATGGGAAAATTTAAACTTCCTTGGGCCAGGGGGCAAGTGAACTCCTGACTAGTTTACAAAGGGGGCTGATTTTCTTCTACAACAAGAGTGTTGGAAGAGTCTGCTGGACCATTATAACGACGTAGTTGGAAAACACTCTCTAACTGGCAGTAGTAGCAGAAGGAAAGGGAAGGCAGTGCTTACAAAGAAAGCCTGAATAGGAATAATGAATTATATGTGTGGCTGAGGGAGTAACGTCTAAGTTTGTGCCTTGGATACCTGGTGTTGTCATTAATCAGATTATGAAATAGTACGTAGAGAAAACAATTTGGTGGGGACAAGAATTATTATTATTACTTTTTACCTAATTGAATTTGGAATACTTGGAAAGCATCTAGGTGGTAATTCCATGTAGGCAGTTGGATATGGAGGCATGAGTCTGAATTTCAGTGTTACCAGCTTTAAGATGATAGTTAACACTTTGGGAGTGGATAAAACATGGGTCTAATCCTGGAAGCCCCAACATTTGAGGGGAAAAATTAAGTAATGTAAGAGGGAAGAATCAGAGAATGAATTTTTTAATTTATTTTTTGACAAATCAGGACAAATCCATCTTTGTAAGCTCAAATAAGTATATTACTTAGGATATACATTTCATTCCAAAAATCGAGAATTACAAGAATAATATTTAAGTGTTAATTAAAGTGCCAAATGTTAGAAAAACCTCAATAACTTAACACTTATTATTCTTTCTCCTTTGTTACAGGGATTACAGGAGACTGGAAGAATTACTTTACAGTAGCCCTGAATGAAAGATTTGATAAACACTACGAACAGCAAATGAAGGGATCTACAATGAAGTTTAGAATGGAGATTTAGATACGTCTTTCTTTTCTTAACATATCTAAGATTAAAGATGTCTTTTCACCATTCTTTTTCTTATTTTAGATTAATATAGAAGGAATCATGTAAAGGATCATGGGTCAGTTTCACTTGTTTATTCAGCTGTTCATATAAAGGAGAAATGAGTTTTTTTCCTCCCTGTAATCATCTTTTTAATTTTTCCTTTGCTTCCTCTTTTCTATTTTTAACAAATGTTATACAAAGCCATATAATCTATGGGAATTATGTAGTAACACAGATGTTTCAGCTTTTCAGCATTTCATTAAAAATAAATAAGCACTCTGGACTATTTTTTGATTACTATTTTCCATTTAGTAGGACATTTAGTATATATATATATATATATATATATATATACATGCATACATGTATATTAATGGTTATACATGAACTTCAAGGACCCTAGAAAAATCAAGGAATATAACAAGGAACAAGGCAAAAATATCTGCTCTTATCACTCTTATTCGACCCAATATTAGAAGTTTTAGCCACCGAAATAAGGAAAGAAAGAGCAATGAAAAGCACACATCGTAAGAAAGGAATAAAGCTACTGTGTCATGCAGATACTCCGTGGACCTGTGGAGATACCTTTGTGGCAAAGAAATGAGGTCGTCTGACAAGAGCTAGCAAGGAGCGGAGATTGTACCCAACAGCCCAGCGAGTGAAGCATCTTGGAGGCAAATCTTCCAGTTCTGGTCAAGCCCTCCGATGACCTGGAGTCCTTCCCAACAATTTGCTTGAGCCAGAACTCCTCTGCTAAATAATTCCCAAACTCCTAACACTCAGAAACTGTGTGAAATAATAAATATTTTTGCTTTTAGTGCTTACGTTTTAGAGTAATTAGTTATAGTATGATATATAATTCACCAATGTAGGAAGGATATTTTCAGAGACTAGCTATATCTCTTCAGAAAATACTAATCAATAATAAAGAATAAAATGATGACATTATGATATAAACACCTATCAGACTCTAGAAGATCAAGGATAACATATTTCTTTTCTCTCTTCAACCTAAATAAAGTTAAGCTTTACAAAGACAAGGAATTTGTTTTTATTCATTAATATAAGCCAACTGCACAGAAAAGAAACTTGTACACAGTAGGTACTCATAAATATGTGATGAATGAAAGAATGGACGATGAATTGATGAATCAATAATTACCTAGGAACATATGTACATCTCTATTATTAGCAAGACTTTTAGAAAGAAATTCCTTCATTATTTATCAAAGAAAATTCATTATATATAAGTTATTTTTCTAACTTCCATTAACTCTTAGAACGACTGAACAGTAATCCAGTACTTTTTTCCAAATCTCTGAATTTCAAGATCAAAGTTGTCTGTGAGGGGGAAGCTTTATTATACATATATTAGAACAACTACTGCTCATAGGTAAAACATTAAACTAGTCTCCAACTTAGTAATTATTTTAGGAAAAGTCTGTGAAAAGTGATTGTATTAGCCAGCTTTGCTGAAGAAACAAAACAATCTCAAATCTCTCATTACCTATAAGGACAAAGGATTATTCCTTGTTCATGTTACTTTTAGGTTGCCACATGGTCGTAGGATTTAGAAAGTCTGCGATTCTGTTAGGTATGTTTTTCACTCTGGGATCCTGGCTGAAGTAGCAGTCCCCTCTGTGGGACATGCTCATTCTCAAGGTGGAGGAAAGAACAAGAGACTGAGTGTAAAATGCAATGTCTCTTAAAAAGCCTCATTTGCATGTTCTCACTTCTGCTCTTATCTCATTGGCCAAAGATATTACCAAGTCCAAAGTCATTGGGGCAAGAATGTAAACTCCTCCCACAGGAAAAATAGAGAGCAGTGAATAGCTGCTAACATTAATATAATCAACTCTTCTGTTCTTCTTTTACCTTTTTATAAACTTCCATAATCAGAACTGTGGGCATCTGTTTGATATCCTGCAGGAAATACTGGGCTATCAAGAGTTCAAGCCCTCCCAGTTTCACTGTTAACCCCATCACACCTAGAGCCCAATCAGTTATTCATTTTTTTTTCCCCCAGTGTAGATGCTGACTTCAGCATATGGTGCTCACAATAAGGCCTCTGGCATTCCCAATATTTGTCAAAAGTGTCAGAATCCCTTGAGACTCCTGGACCATGGCAAAAACAAAATTTTATCACATTTTAAAGGTTATCCACAGTACATATGTACTGCCAAAGCTTGTGTAGTTGGAAGAAACCAGGGATCACGCCGTGTTCTTAGGTTCAGTCTTGTCAGAGCCAGGGTAATGTTGATGAAATCCACTGTGATACCCTTCCTTCAAAAATTCAGAGTTTTGTTCCATGTACAATTCAACTTTAGACTAAAGCATATCTTTCCATTTTTTCAATCTTGTTTTATATCTTTACATGCTGTGTGCATAGTGATGTGTATATCATATATATGTATATGTATACACACATAATATGCATTATATAAAAACAGGTTCTGTAAATTTGTAAAATTTACCTCTAGAGAACATTTATTTTATAAATATTTATCCCTACAGAGAAGTTTTTAATACTTTGTGTTTCACTGGTCAAATTGTCCATGCTTTCAGAATAGCAATAATAATTAGGATTTGAGAAAGTGGACCCTGTAAAACATCATTCACACGTACTGTGATGAAAATTAAGACTCACTTTCTACCTCTTGCATTCTGTTCTCTGCCGTAAGAGGATGATGAGTATGGACTACATCATCAGAATCCTGGGCCCTTTGTTTCTATTTGGCAGATGTGAGGGAGAGAAGAGAGTAAAGCCAAGTTAGTATTTCCCTGGTGTTTTCTCATGAGATTAAATTAAGAGAGCTGCATTCCTCCAAATTAATGCCTTTGTTTTCATTATGATAACTTTTTCGAGATATATCTAGTGACTCTAAATCCTGATCCCTAATTGCAATGTTTTCAGAACATAAATCTCCAGTAAGGCAGAGGTGGAAGCATGCTAAAAGTCTAAGGATCGTTTTCCGGCTGCTAGGTATTGGAGAAGCCAACTAGGAATCTTTATTTCATGTTTTGCAGACCAATCAGTAAAAGCACCCAATTGCCTCCAGTTGTTTTGCCTTCAGATAGCTCTATAGCAGCGTGACATTCAGGTTGTTTCTTGTTTTTTTCCCTGGAGCAGACTGTAAGAAAAAAGTCTTGATGAATAACTTTCCACTGGAGTCAAAGAAAATGTTTGTTTGGGATGGATGTTTGTTTGAGGAGGATGATATAAAATAAGTATATTTTTATATGTTGTTAAATGAAAGCTTTCAACTTCAAATTCTACTATTGTACGTAATGATTAACTTGCAGATTTAAAAACTTTGCCCCTTGTCAGAAGCGTAATTTAAAACCTAGAGACCAAAAGAGACCATGTTATACCATGGTTTTGCATGGGTTGCAAAACCATATTTTGCTTATATGAAAAATGACAAGAATCTCAAACCAATTCTTTTTATTTTGAAATTCTTACTATTACCAAGAGGCTGAGAAAGGTAATAGATATAACAACCTGCTTCTGGTTGGTGCAGGCATCATTTAAACAGCACAGCGTGCTCCAGCTTTTCTTGGCTGTGTTTCCTTTTCCCTTTTCTCCATCACGGGGAATGTGCTCTTGCCTGTCCAACTTGCCCGTGCAGTTCTAGAGGTGTACAGAGAAATCATGTTTAAGTGAAGGTTTCTACTAGGAGCACAGTTGCCATGAAACAGGATTTGTATTTTGCTGGGCTATTTCAATTGAAACCAGATATACTTAAAATAAAAATAAAGGGTCTTTGTTTACTAAACATGATTATTTGATAGCAATAAGTCCAGATGCTAAAATCAGTAGATTTCCATGGGCTCTTTGTTTTACTCTGTCTCATACTACATGCCACAACCAACTGTAAAGCCTTCCTTTAAGCCGTGGATGCTTAAAACAATAACAGACTTCATACAGCTTCACATAACTCATTCGACTTCTTCTTTTTCCTTTCTAATCACATAAAACGAATTAATCTTGGTTGACTGAAACAGCATATCAAGGGGGACTTCTAGTCACCAATTGCTGTACAAAAAAAATCTGGGCTTCAAGTTCCTCAACACAGGCACCAGGTAAGTAATTTGTCATCTCTGTCTTAAAGTGCCCGTATTTTGAATAATACTAAATTCAACAATTGAAAAATCAGAGAATGAAAAATGAAAACGTTTAGAACAGATAGTTCACCATAAAAGGAAAACATAGGGAGATTCCTAGCTCCAGATTTTCTAGATTTCAAGATTACTGTTTATATTTAAAATTGTGTTGAGGTAGTCCACTCTTCTAATTTTTAGGTTTGTAACAGTAAAAGTAATTTTAAAGGCTCTTATTCTTCCACCTTCTCAGTATTTCTATTTATTTCAAAGGAGTGTTCTTGCAGTTAGAACTTAGAACTTTCAGGCTGCATGCTAAGAAAATCTGTGCTTGAGAATATGAAAACCAGAACTTGGCAAGTATACAATTTTAACAAGTCTGCTTTTGTAGATTTTTTCTAGATTCCCCAAAACAATGTGTTACATAGAGGCTAGGTAAATAAATGCCTTTGCCATGGATTACTGCTTTATTATTCTCTTCTAAAATATTTTGAGTATTTGGCATATTTTTCACTAAAATATATTTACAATTTTTTTTTTTATCATTAAACCAAAACCATCACAGTGAAGTGTTCTTCACATTTCTGGAAATTTATTACTTTCAAAAAGATTTTTAACAAGATTTGAGCTTTTGTTTTTGTTCCCCACGCATCTCCCTATTGTCACTGTATTGAATAACTACTGCAGTTTAGTCTCTTATACATCTCTTTCTCTTTTGCGTTCAGATTAATAACAAAGCAATGTTCTAAGAAACTCATGTGAGTACAAAAAATCCTGGTAAAATGAAGAGTCACACAAAACCATTGCTTACTGTAGTAATGTAAATGTTTAATATTGTGTTTCAACCACAAATGTAAAAGGCTAAATGCATTTTAAATCCAAATACTTTAAATTAAAACAATTTTAGTAAGTCATGTTAATCTCTTTAGGCTAATTCCTGTGACCCGCCATTATAAATTTTTTCAATGGATAAATGTTTCACTATTACTATTTTTTGTTTCACAAAAAATAGTTTGTTTCTTTTTAAAGAAAAGTCTAAATATTTTCCTAAGATATATGAAAATTTATATATTTACATTGTATAAGCCAATGTTCTAAAAATGTTATGAAATTACATTTTTATTTTTAATGAAATATAGATTTGCTAGCTATCAGCATGTATAAAGCTACTGTGGACTTTACAATCACCACATCCTCAACTTACAATGAGGAGAATATTATTTTAGCTGAAGCCCACTTTGTACTGTTATATGATATTCAAATTTCCAGATATATTAAAAGAGGTTTCATGAGTGAGACCCCATCTCACTAACAATACAAATAAATTAATTGCCCACTAAAAATATATAGTGCCCACTAAAAATATATATATTTTTATATATTTATATAAAAATATAAAAATCAGCTGGGCATGGTAGGACACGCCTGTAGTCCCAGCTACTCAGGAGGCTGAGGCAGGAGGATCGCTGGAGCCCAGGAGTTTGAGGTTGCTGTGAGCTAGGCTGATGCCACGGCACTCTAGCCCAGGCAACAGAGTGAGACTCTGTCTCAAAAAAAAAAAATCATTTTTTTTTCTGTGTTGAATGACTCATTCAGTATTTCTTGATGGCCCAGGATAGTTAGAAGATGTTTTTACACATCAATTCGAGTCTTTATTCTCTCTAGGATATTAGCACATTTATATTTTTGTTCTTTTGTTCATTGACTCTAAGAGCAACTTTCT